AATTAAAAAAGAAGAAACGGATTTATTAAAAATCAGAAGATCCGAGTTTTAGCGAAAGCGCAGAGCTTCGCCTCTCCGATGGGTCTCCAATGGCGGATATTCTATTAAATATCATCTTATTAAACAGAAATGACCCTCATGACAATGCCAGTCTCGCCAGCTGACGCTCATGGCTGATGTCGGGGTTGAGCCATCACCAAGTTGCCACGTGTGCCAAAGATAACCTGCTCACCCACCCCGACAGGTGCGGAAAAGAGCGCATGCCCAGTATCCGTAGCCACCACATGACCGGCGCCCAAGGGTTCTTGCACACATACCAATTGGCCATCAGCGCAAGAGATCCATACGTCAGGAGCTTCACTCGCACACACAAAGCATGCGGTGCTGCTCACGCCTGGCAAAGGGCACTGTCGTGTCTTGAGAATCTGGGTGCCAGGTTCCGTTCCCGCCACCGGGTCTTCCCACATCACAAGCAGCGCCGGTGCATGGGTGGGCACGAGCCAACTGTCGAGACTTGACGCAAAGACTGGTCTTGCAAAAATGTGTGCATCTGCAGATACCTCATGCAGCGGCTGCATATCTGGCACACGCAGCAAGTGCACACGCCCGGCGACCGTAGCCACGGCCGCCACATATTCATCGGTGCGTAGGCCCACGCCTCCAAAGATGGGCGCTTCAAGGCGAACATGGTGCCGCCGCCGCAGGGCGGGACATCCCGGCTTGTCAGCAAGTGCAAATGTGAATAAGTGCCCACCCAGGGTAGAGACCAGTGCCAGATCATGAAGCAGTGCCACCGTGGGTGGGGCTAACAGACTGCCATGGCGACCCGTCTTGACTGGGACGATGTGGCGGGAGACGGAAGGTTCCAGGGCGACACAAACGCCATCGGCGCCATCGGCACGCCAAAGGTCTTTGGGTTGCCCCAGGGCGCTCAGATGCAGGGCATACGCGTGTCCATCATGGCTACCAAAGATAGCCCATTCGTGCCAAAAGCGCGCAGAGCTTCGCACTGCATCACCACACCGCACAGAAAACTGAAAACCGCCCAACCAATCGAGCCCGTATACACATCCGTCATAGCAGCCCACTAAGAGTCGGTTCACAGTCCTGTCAAATGCCGACCATTAGCAGCAGGATTTGAGTGGAAAACATCGAAAGCACCACCCCGGCTGGCTGTGCTGGCCAGGGCGGCTTGACGAGCGGGCAAAAAGCGAATGCCCAAGAAGGCAGGTTACCTACGGTGAGGGAATGACAGCCGTACCGCAACGCTCGGGCAAACACGTTGCCCACAATGTATAGCCGGAAGCGGCTTCCATGCACTTGACATAGCCATCATGACCGGCAGCCAGCACCAGCGACCGCGCGGCGCCTGCCCGGCGTTCCCGTTGCGCAGGCGGCGAGCCGTTCATCGCTGTTGCTGCACGCACAGGCTCGTCAAGGCTGCATTCAATGACACCAACGTCACAATCCACGCAAGCCTCGAATGGAGTCGTCCAGGACGCCTTGGGTGTGAGTAAAGCCGGTCGATCATGCCGTATGCACTCCAAAGCCGCAAAGAGCTGGATGGCCCCAGGGTTCCAGTGGGCGGTTGTTGTGGCCTGGCTGCGGTTCCAGTTGTAGAGCGCGCTTCGATAAGACAAGTGGTGCATGCGCGCTGCAATCATGACCTCCAACTCTGGGGCTGGGGTAACGGTCTTTTCTTGGCGAAATGATTGCAGCAACAGCATGCGTTCCGGTGAGGGTGTTGCGGGGTTAGCCAGAGGCCGGCCAGCGGCTTCAACCAACTCTGATAAAGTGCTTGCACTTTCGAGGGCCGAGAAAAGCTCAGCCAACTGCGTTTGAGGATAAAATTGCTGCCATAGCGCGGCCAACTCCACACGCAGGAGGGAAGGCAACGCCAAGGACCGCAGAGGGGCATGCCAAAAGTCGGTTGCTCGAAGATGAGCAGGTAAATGGGCCGCAATGGCCCAGCCCATGAGTGTTTTCGGCGGGACCCTGTCTACTTGTTGCTGTGCGAGTCGTGCCAAACCCTCTCGATCAACCTGGCGTCAGTAGCGTGGTCAATCGGCAGACATTCAAATCGGAATATGTGAGATTGGGGCATGGCGATGGCGAGCGGTGGAGGTGCGGGTGGGAGCGGGGACATGGCCTGTACCTTGCCATTTTGGGTCACGGGAAAGCAAGCATGATGCACCAGCAGCGCGGCAAGGAGTGGAACGTGCGGTCGCACCAAGTGTGATGCGGTACCCACTGCTTGCAGCGTAGTCGGCCATTTCATCAGGTCGACTCCCTGGACTGTATCGTGTGGTGTGCTTGGCGTCTGTACTTGAACGAGTACCAAGTGCGTTGTCGCTATCAAAGACACAAAACCAGCTGCCTTAAGCGTACATGCCAAGACACACGGGCAGCAGAGTGGCAACCAGCAAGCAAAAGGCGGAGAGCAAGGGTGGCCAACGTCTACCTGCCAACGCAACAGGCACCACTATAGCCCGGTGCTGGTGCTCCACGGGCACAGCGCTCTCCAAGTTGATGCGCTGCCCATGTATTTTCACCTGAGTGTAAAATGAGTAACTGAGGAGTGGGACACTGTGGGTGATAAGGGTGTGTGTGTGTGTGTGTGTGTGTGTGAAACAGGGACGGTGCAAGGTATGGTGACCGAGCCCTCGCCTACCTGCCAGTCTGCTCGGCCAGCAAAGACCGGGTTGGCTTTATCGAGGTGGTGTAATTGTGATGCCGCCACGTGCACCAGGTCACCCGTAGAACGACACTGCCACGATACTGCCGAACGGGGAGTGCACGCTCCAGCTTGCGGCTCGGCGACATCGAGGCTGGTCCAGGTGAGCCGCCGCGTAGTGTGAAGCACAAGCTCACCGCAGACGATGCCATCACCCAAATCAGCGGCCCCCGGGGCCAAAGACAGAGACGTATCAGTCATGGGTTGGCCCAGACCAGCAACTTGGTTGGCTGCCGTCAATTCCTGTCCGCATTGCCAAATAGACATTTCTACAGCGGGGAAGCAGAGCAGCATTGAGAACAATGATTGATAGAAAAAAGCAAGAGAGAAGGTGAAGGCAAGAGAGGGCGTAGGAAGCGAACGCGCGAGATAAATATTGTTGTCAATGGGATATCAACTCGGGACCGGCGCAGCAGAGGGCAACTCGCCTGTCAAGCCGTAAAGGCCCCAGACGCGAAGGCCAGCGGCTAGGCTTGTGGCCACGTCTGCGGCTCGAAGCGGCTCCCCGCCCAGGAGTACGGCGCGCAGGGTTGGAACCATGGTCAGCAGACCCGCTTGTAAGAGCCTAGATCAATATGAGGTCGGACGTGACTGGCGATTTTGGGGATGCAGGGGGTGGGGGGCATGTCGTCACGGCAGCCCACAAGAGAACGCACTGGCTGAAAAAGCTGGGAACAACCTGTAAAACGGTGACACCAGTCTGGGACAAAGCAGCAATCAGCTGCACGGCATGACTCTGAGAGAACGTTGAGTGAGGCAAAGATGCCAAGTGAGATTGGCTGCCGAACCAAAATGGGAATTTGCCAGTGGGCAGCCGGTGAGTGCGGGCAGACATACACGCCAAATGTAGGGGCAGGTGGCGAGCGTGGCACCAGCATGGCTGGCGAGGCCAATTTCCAGAACAGCTGGATCAAACGTGGGTAGGGTAGTGTGGGCCACAACATCAGTATGTGAGAGCTGTAGCCAGTCTTGTACGTCCCGCACGTTGGGCTCGTAGCTGGCTGGGCTGACTGCGACCAGCTTGGGGCGGCCCGTGCTGCCGCTCGTGGAGAGCACGTAGGCCCAAGTCTCATCGGCAGGCCATGGGCAAAGCGGGCCACTTCCTGCCGGGTCGTCTTCATGCCTTGGGCGGCTGTAGATGACGAGCTGGTATGATAGTATTTGCAGACAGCACCACGGCTGTAGCACAGTTAGCGTCGACTCGGTGAGAGTCAGCGTTAAAGGCGCGACCAGCAGATCGCAATGGTCGCGGGCCAGAGCGAGTCCATGCTCTGACACGGACAAAGGGAGCGCAATGCAGTTGGCTTGTCGCAGGCTACGGAAAGGCGACGGTTGAAAGCCAGAGGCACGTGTCAAGTCGGTTCGGCAACTGAGGTCGTGATCTCGGCAGGCGGGTGGTACCTGTGCAGGAGGAGAGTTGTGACAGTGCCGTGTTCAGCATAAAAACCAACAGTTGGCTGGCGTTGTGGCGATGCTGCGTTGTGCTGTTTGCCCAATGCGGTGCAGAGCGACTGCCAGCATTGCGCCCAGTGGGTCACGGCGGTTGGGTCAATGGTCAAACGCCGTGCGCTCGACGGGGCTGAGTCCGTCAGTTCAAGGATACGAAGCGCACCCGTCGGCGCGCCCAGCACGGTCGCCATTCGATCCGAGACCAGCACTGGCTGTGGCACAGCCCGGTCATCTCGTGGCTCGCTCATCTTGACATGCCCACCCTGCTCACCAACATCTCCTTTCCCGCTCTGCTCCCCCTGCCACAGCGTCACAGGACCATGATCATCTCGAGTCGCCCGCCATCAAAATGCTGTTGTCAGCACGCACACGAGTTATTGAAGCAAAACATGTGCTTGATGCAGATTATATGTGACTGCTTGTGTTAAATCGCGTTGACAGTGATGTTATGAATGTAGATAGGGTATCGACTTGCGTGTGTGAGTGTGTCTCTGATGGCGGGCCAGTTGGGTGTGTTGCGGCACAAAACAGTTTGTGTCTGGCAAGAGCTGGCGTGACACGGGTCAAGGAGAGATCAAAGAGGGAGCGTAAAATTTAATTTCCTGGCGAAGGAAGAATTACACGTACATCCAAATGTACGACGGCATTTTCTTACCGCAAAGCTGTTCTTTGCTTTGCGCATGGAACGGAAAACAGGAGACAGGACTTGGTGCATGGGTAGGGTTCACAAACAATAATTGCGACCAAACTCGTAGGTCACTCCGATACCCTTGACAACACACACAATGCCACCAGCACGTAGCGAGCCCTAGTGCGACGAACACATCGGGTCCCAAACGGCAGGTGGCAAGACAGACAACGACCATGCCCGGTTGATGGCGGAGGGTGGTGGAAACAACGCGTGTTGTTGTTGTTGTGTTCCGGTCTCAAGCTGACGAGGGGCCTGAATCAAAACAGGTCTGGAAGATTGTCCTCTTGGTTGGGGTTTGGGCCCGAGGCCAGAAAGCGAGGCCGCGCTAGCAGAGGGGGCACGTCATTCGAGGCGATGGGTGCTTGAGGTTTGTTTGCAGAAGCCGCGTGGGCGGGCATGTGTTCGGGAAGCTCGGTCGCCACGGGTAGTTCTTCAACGGGGGCCTGAGGTTGAGCCGGAACGTGTGTGCGACCGGGTGTTGCTCGCACGTAGCCCGAAACGTCGGCGGGCCAGGTTTTGAGAAACCCATCCTGACCCACGCTCATGATGCAGTCAATGGTGTGTAGAAACTTGACGTCATTAACGGGTTTGGATAGGTGATGATAGGCAGCCAGGAGGCTAGAACTGGTGATGCTGGCAAGGTAGAAAGAGGGGTCTTGTTCAATGGCGTAGACGGCCTTACTTCCGGTGGCGTTGAGATCGAGCGCAATGATGGGTCGGCTAGAGTCAAAGTGCTGGAAGATTTTGAGAAGGGCACCATCGGCGATGGTGTGGAGGGCAATACGGGCATGTGCGTCACCAAAGGCAAAGAGGGTATTGTTGGTATTGATCGCAAGGGCTGAGGTAATGGCGTGTGTGGCGGTAAGGCTGACGCGCTTGGTAAGGTCTGTGGCTGAAGCGAGGGAGAACAGTTCGACGGCCTGGGTCCAGGCAACGAGCAGAGTGCTGTGTGATTCAGCACAGGCTACGTCCACTACGGTCCCAAACTGCCCATGGGGATCCATGGGGACAGAGGCAATCTTGGCAAAGGTGGGGAGGTGCCAAGCATGGAGGTGGGCTTGGTGATCGATGGCCCACGCAAACTCCCCGCTCTTGGTCATGGCAAAAGCGCAGCAGCCAGGCGCCAGGGTGATGTGGCCCAAGAGCTCCGGTGTGGGCACATAGACAACACATGCGTCACCGTTTTGGTCGCAGCTGAGTGAGATGAGGCCGTCGGCGGTGACGCGGACCCGGGTATTATCGGCAGCATGGCAGTTTGGGAGACGGTGTAGAACATCCTTGCTAGCCATATCCACAAAGAGCGGGGGGCCAACCTCAAAGGCAAGAGCAGCGAGGCGACCAAAGTTGCCGAGCTCGATGTGTTTTGCAGGGCCGGGAAGCTGGTTGGAGCTGTACGGGCGGGCAATCACCACTGCCTGACCCAGACCGGCTTGAGGCAAAATGGTCTCAGGGGCCGCCATGGTGGGCGGAGCGCCGTGTCGACGAGCCGGGCCGAGGGAATGAAGGGAAGCGTCGCGTTTGAGCGACAATTCAAGGGCAAGGACTACCCAGGTGGATCTTGATCTACCCGAGCTGTGCGGTCATGCTGAGACAGCCGAGCCACACAAATCCCCTAAATTCAAGAAAAAAGTTGAAGATTGTGAGTTGAGGACACAGAGAGAGAGAGAGAGAGAGAGAGAGAGAGAGAGAGAGAGAGAGAGAGAGAGAGAGAGAGAGAGAGAGAGAGAGAGAGAGAGAGAGAGAGACAGAGAGAGAGAGAGAGAGAGAGAGAGAGAGAGACA